AATAATTATTGTTTTATATTTTTAAACTAAAGATTAATTAAAAATAATTAATACATCAATATACTCTTTCTTGTTTTTTCTTCCTGTAAGAGACTAACATACTTAATATTGTGGGTACTACCCAAAATCTGAACTCCTTTCTTTTTTCTCTAAGATTATAAAATAAAAGACAGTCATGTCATAGTTATACTGCTATAATATTTCTAGGAGTATTGATCTTCATATTCTAATGCTGCACTTAATGCATAACTTGCATAAAAATAAAAAGCAAAAGAGGTATCAGAGTCACTGTTGTTGAAACTCCAGGACAGAATGTTTTCTCTAGTAGAGTGTGGAATCAGTGAATGTAACAGTGAAAGAAATTCTTCCCTTTTCAATGACTTCTGTATCCATGATAATTACTCAAAGTTGTGGCATGGCAGCTATGAAATATTTCCTATACTCCTATAAAAAATTCCTATACAGTTGACTTGGTGACTAGAAAGCCATAAACAGGCAATATCCCAAAGAAAGAAAGAAAAGAAGCTAACAGAAATTACAAATGCTGAATATAAAGAATGAATGAGGAATCCTGCTGTCAACTAGTGGTTTCTTTGCCTCTTTGTGCTTTTCTCAGTAAAACCATGTTTTAATCATGTTGGCAAACACTTTTAGGAAGGACCACTTTGTAGATGCACATCTTTCATTTTTAAAAAGAAAGTGAAAACTGATTTACAAAAACAAGTGAGAATCCTTTGAGGGACAGAGAAGAGTTTGGGTATTATCATTTCAATCAATGTGTTATCCTAACATATACAACTTTCAACAGCTGTAATATTATGTAGCTTTTGAATTTTTGCAGCAACTGAAACTAGTGATTTTTCAACACTTTACTATATTTGTGTATCACAAATACATTGGATGTACATTCATAGATGTGTGCCTGAATGCCCATTGTTATGGTTCTAAGCTGTGTCCTTTTTTACATATCCTTTCTGTAAAGATTGTATGTTGGTTAGAAGCAGTGGTGGGTTTCAAAAATTGTTCGAACCTACTCTATGGGTGTNAGGAAGGAAGGAAGGAAGGAAGGAAGGAAGGAAGGAAGGAAGGACTAAAAGAAGTCACCATTTAGATGCAATTCTAAATGGGGATCTTGACTTAATGAACTATATATGAACCAGTAGCATGCTAGAGCAAACAATCAGATCAGTTCAAATATCTTGTTTCCTCATGTATAAAGAGACATGGTAGGAGAAACTTTATTTGTCTTAGGGAGATGACACCAAAAGGTAGACACTGCTTTAAAAGTTGTCTAATTCAAGATTTGATACAGGAAGACACAAGTAGCCTAATAGTATGTTTTCTTATTATGTCTATAAATTGTTGTACCATGAACAGGGGTGGGATGCAACCAGTTTAACAACCAGTTCGGTGAGCACATGCTTTGTGTGCACACACAGCTAATGCAGGCTGTGCGTGCACGCAGCATTCAACAACTGCCCCCTTTAAGCTTAAAGACTTACCTTCCATATCAGCGCTGGTGAGTAAAACAGCTGACACATGGCAATCCACTGTGCCATGCAAATCAACTGAGCTAAAAAATAGGGGAATATAAGAAAGGAAAGGGCAGGGCTGGGTGGATGGGGTCAGCTGCTCACTGGCACTACTGGTTCCCTAGAACCGGTGCAAACTGGTAGAATAACACCACTGATCATGAATGATGGCAAATATACATGCTCCAGGATAATGTTGCAGGATCCAATCTGAGTTGGTCACTGGGCCAGAAGTTTGTCCTTCCAAGCTTTCAGACTCATGCTGGTGCCCATCCTAAGGAAACTTCTCAATCTCTGAAGTGTATCACATCCCAAAGATTGAGAAGTTCCCTGTGGATGGGTTCCAGCACAAGCCTGGAAGCTTGGAAGAGCAAGCCTCTGGTTCTGGTCCAATCAATTCTTGTATCATTAAAAAATTGTTTTAGGTCAATCATTAGAAATTAAAGATAGGAATGGAGAACACAAGAACTTAAATCTAAGTTGGCACAATGAATTGTCTCATACTTAGCTTGGCAACACAATTAGACAGTCCTCATAACATTAGGTGATTATAGACTTGTTCATCTTCCAATATGGAAGCCACCATTATCTCTCAGCAGTGTCACTTCATATTGGAGAAGCTGATGAGCCCCTGCACAAAAGAATAAATAAGCACAACTATGCTATCAGTTGTAGAAATCAACAGAAGACATTCTGCCTCTGTTCACAAAATGGTAGTTCTCAAATAAAGGAATTACAAAAATTGAGTTCATTGTAAAAACCTGAGCAGGAATTCAGTAGAAGATATGACACAATTTCTCCTGGTTTGAACAAGAACCAAAGTTACTTATCACAGCACTATGTTAACTTTGTCATGAAAATTATTTCTTTATATAGGATTACCTATAAAAGAATCCTGTCTTTTAAATTTTTTCTTACTTAAGAATTTTTTCCTAGGTCTATATGCTTTGTATATAAAAAATGGACTACACCATTTATCAGTGACGTGCGGTGAGGTTTATGGCTGGTGAGGCAGTCTTCTCCCCCGACATCCCATTGTCTAAAGCGCTTTCTTTCTTTCACCTGCCTGAGCTCTGACAGGTGGGCGAAAGAAAGCGCTTTAGACAGTGGGGTGTTGGGGTAGAGGAGAGAATGCCTGAGAGGTAAAAGAAAGCGCTTTAGACAGTGGGGTGTCGGGGGAGAGGAAAAAATGCCCGAGCATTATCTCCTCTCCCCTGACACCCCACTGTCTAAAGCGCTTTCTTTCTTTCACCTGACTGAGCTCTTTGTTGTAAATGTGTTTTTATTTTCCATTTTCATTTNTAGAAGACCTCCAATGTCCCTTCCAAGTCTCTTATTTTGTTATCTGTAAATTATTTGGTAAGGACTTGGCCAACCAGGAGAGTGAGACCAGGATCTTCCTGCTTCCACTACTTTATCTGGAGACATTTTCCAACTCTTTGACATTAACTGGTAAATTGTTTTAGTGAGTAAGGGAAAAAAAAGTCAGAACCAGAGGTAGTATTCAGCCGGTTCTGACCAGTTCTGGAGAACCGGTAGCAGAAATTGTGAGTAGTTCAGAGAACCGGCAAATACCACCTCTGACTGGGCTTGCTCCCATCTATTATCTGCCTCCTGAGTCCCAGCTGATCGGCTGGGTCTTCTTTTGCTGCCCTGTACAGGAGAATGGAGCTGGAAAGCAGGTTAGTGGGATGGGGAGAGAATGGGGATTTTGCAGTATCCTTCCCCAGGAGTGGGGAGGAAGTGGGATTTTGCAGTATCCTTCCCCCTGCTATGCCCACCAAGCCACACCATACCCACCAAGCCACAGCCACATAACTGGTGGTAAAATTTTGAATCACAACATTGGTCAGAATGGTACCATTTAGACTTCCCAAAGAATACAATGAACAATTAGACAATTACCAAAAGATGAAGTGGTATTTTGGTTGGTCCTTTGGCCGACATCTTCTCCCACAGACCTCGTCGTACATAACGAATGGTTGTCCCCGCTATCTGAAACTCACCAGGAAGTTCAATTTTCCAGTCGCTGTTGATGGACTTCTTACTGGAATCTTTCAAAGCTGCAAAGAATCAAATAGGCAGAGTGGTTCAGGACAGTCCTCCTTACTTATCTAGGACACAAATTCAAGTGAGCCTCCTCAGCAAAGAATCCAACCATCCATCCATCTTTCTATCCAATGCTTCCTGTGTTTTTCCTTGGCGCTTCTGAAGTTCTAAAGGAAGCCCATGAGAATTGCTACCATGTTTTCCTGAAAATAAGACAGGGTCTTATTTTCTTTTGACCCCTGAAATAAGCGCTTGGACTTATTTTTGTGGAGGTCTTATTATTTTTGAGGTGCAGGGGACGGCGAGCATGGTCACCTCAT